TGTTAAGAATACTGCCTAGAACTGATCTCTATGTGTAGGGAGAGTCTCAATGTCAGGATGCACACCCACTTCGTCCTCCCGTTTCTCAACCCAGACAGGCCACGAGTAAGTCAGAGCCGTGAAATTGGCTTGGTATCGCCACTGGTTCTTGGGGTCGACTTGGCTAATATTATAGTTACGCAACAGCGTAGCCGCCATTTTGCAGATTTGCATCCAGGCAAAATGACGGCCAGGGCATGTCATATATCCAGCGGAAAACTGTCTCATTTAGCCATTTCTCAAAACCAGACATTTCAAGGGCTTACCACTATCCAGTTCCTGTCCAGCTTCTTCGTGTCTCCCGACAGCCAACGTTCTGGATTCCATTGATCGGCATCATCTCCCCAAATATCTTTTGATGAGTGCACCACACTTGGAGTAGTCAGCATATGCAGAGGAGGAACGCATTATTCCATGCACTCACTTTGAAGATACGCTTAGGATTGTGCCTTGCTGAAAATGTCGACCTGCGATGTTGATTCCTCCTTTTGCTACTACGCGAGGTAGTCCCATGGTCGTGGGGCTGAACACACGCAATGCCTCCTTGATGCAGGCCCGTAAGTATGTTAAATTGTCGGCATCATGAAACGAAACAACGCGACCATGGCACGAGCCTTCAGCTTTCGCGGCGTGAATCTCGTTACGAACCCTAAGCCAGTCTTCGGGATGCTGAATTAGGTGATACAAAAGACTCTGTATTGCGGCTGTTGGCTTGAATCAGTAAATGGCAAGGGTGAAAAACGGGCCTGTTTGACTAAGGGCGATACACACATGAAACAGGTTCTGCCCCTGCTCCCACGTTGACGTTGGCCTGTGCTTCGATTTTCCGAAGGCTGAGCTCGCCAGACTTCTGTTGAGCGCCCAACCAATGTGCGACCATGTCATTATGTGCTTCATGGTTGTGCAGACGCTTCTTGATGGCGACTGACGTTGTTCTGTAGAGGCGCCCCATAGGTAGAAGCAGCAACCAACTGTTAAGAGGATTGATAAGGATACGCAAAGGGCCTATAAAAAAGCCCGCTACCGCTGCAAATCTACTCAATGCCACGTTGTTCCTTAATGTGCCGTCGATGTCGCGACCCTGTAGAAGTTAGCATCACTATGGGCATGTGAACAATGTTTCGAACTTCTTAAGACAAGGTGAAAGAGAATAAGCAAGCAAAGGAACGTGACATACAGCCCTAATAAATCCAAACGGCTCAGAGAACAAGGCGGAGCCTATGTTATCAAACGTCGTATATGTTATAAATCTGTCCAGATCCATCGGCATCCGGTCTTCGGCGTACTTTTCTACCCAGCGAAGTAGATGCTCAATATTCTCATCGACCTCTGGTTCTCGTTTGAGGACTTGGGACAAAGCATAGCCTGGTGCGAAGTGCTTCGAAAGAGCTTTCTTCTTCTTGGGACTTGTAGTTGACATGGGGTTTTGAAATCGATAATCGGGTACTGCCGTGACGCTATACCAGTCACCCTATGTAGATTGTTAGGGATTTTGCACCAAGACTATATCGCACGATCAGAACTGACCTTATGTAAATTGGCGCGAAGCAGTAGTGTGGATCCATCTGGGTGACAAACGCTGACCTCGTTAGGGGCAATGCGAACGAATTGCCCATGTTTTCTGTGAAGGGCCTTGAGCCTCACATTTTGTTTACCTTCAAGGATAATCCATACGTGCCAGAGCCGAGTGACAGATGCCCAGAAAGGCCCTGGAATGTCTGACAAGTTGGAGAAATAACGGCGATGCACAGCGATGGCAAAAACCAACAGTGCAAGCTCTATTATAAAACCAGGCCAA